TGCATACACAGCCAATGAGCTTGCTGCTTTACATTTAAATGGCTGCTTAGCATCCACTTGAGCATTTTGCAGCACGCTTTCAGAGTTCCTCTGAAACCCTCCACCATCCCCAGCTCCACCTGTATAGATCTGCTGTGGCAGCAAGTTCCTGTACTTGCTTGCAGCAGCAGCAATAATCTACAACTACAGCAATAACCAACAGCAGCAGCACTTCAGCAGCAGCAGCAGATCTATTCCGCCAAGACCAAATACATTAACATCGTCATATCCATCACCATGCTAAAATCTTCCGAGAGTTGTCATGATAGAAATATAATTTTTTTAAATTATTTATTTCAGTTTTTGATTTAATTCAGTGTATTACTTAGCATTTCTTTGTAATTATTTGTAAAATTTACTAGCAATTTCTGAGTCAACATTGTTTCAAAGTAAATCCTACACAAAGTTTTTGGTGTATAAATTGTGTTCTACAGGCTCAGTGGTTTACACACAGTGCTCAGTTGTAAAATAATATTTTAATGTGCTTTATCTGACAGGAGGTGGTGAAGAATGAGATTCAGGTTATGAACCAGCTCGACCACGCTAACTTGATCCAGCTCTACGCCGCCTACGAGTCCAGGAACGACATCATCCTTGCACTTGAATAGTATGTGCATTTTAATTGGTTCATTCTTATTGGCTAGTTCTCGTTAAATAGAATAAAGCATGCAGTCAATTCAAATTAAAGTCTGTTCAAAGTTAATTCAAATGAATAGTTTTATATATTCTTCATAATTTAGAATTTTTAATTCGTACCTGTTTTTTATCCAATTTTCATTTACTTTTTAAAATCAGTTTGTAATGTTGTGATTAATGTAAAATCATAATATTATTACGTAATTTATTCTTTCATATATACTTTATATAGTCCTACAATGTTGCGGAGTGACTAAAAGTAGTGATGCTACTTTTTCTTTGACTTAACCATTGTAATAATAAAAATTGAGTCGTTTAATACTTACATTTACATTTAGTCATTTAGCAGACACTTTTATGCAAAGCGACTTACAAATGAGGACAATGGAAGCAATCAAAATCAACAAAAGAGCAATGATATGCAAGTGCTATGATAAGTCTCAGTTAGCCTAACTAATACTTCTGCTAACGAGTAACTTGTAACCACAAGTAAGGATTGTAAAGTTAATTAAAATGATTCTGTGCTGATCTCTCTGAGCAGTGTTGATGGAGGTGAACTCTTCGACAGAATCATCGATGAGAACTATAAGCTGACGGAGCTCGACACGGTGATGTTCATCAGGCAGATCTGTGAAGGCTTGCGCTACATGCACAAAATGTACATCCTCCATCTGGACCTAAAGGTACAAGCAGAGACCCAGCGTAATGCAACGATAAAAACACTTACATCTAAAAAAATATGATCTGTCATTGGCCCTCAGAGGAGAAAATTGCCTGACATTCCTCTAGTTTTAAAGCAAACAACCACAGTAACCTTCATAACCCTTGCTGTTTCTTGTGGCCTGCAGCCGGAGAACATTCTGTGTGTCAGCAGACTCACAAATAAAGTCAAGATCATCGACTTCGGACTGGCCAGGAAGTAAGTGCACTCACGGCACTGATGCCTTTGTTCAGAAACGAGAAAGCGTCCGAGTTAAGAGACGTTCGTTCTCTTCAGGTATCAGCCCAGAGAGAAGTTGCGGGTGAATTTCGGGACGCCGGAGTTTCTCTCTCCTGAGGTGGTCAACTATGATTTTGTGTCGTTCAACACGGACATGTGGAGTCTGGGCGTCATCACGTACATGCTGTGAGTCACGTGTGCTGTTACACATGCTGTAAAATTATCTAGCTGAATTAAAATTAGCATTTAACAAAACTCCCCTTATTTTATGTTTAAATTATGGGTAACACTTTATTTTGATGGTCCCTTTTGAACATTCTGTTGACTATAAGTAACTTTGCACCTACATGTGTACTAACTCTCATTAGAGTATTAGTAGACTGTTTGATTAATATCTGCTAACTCTTTATTGTCATGTTCTCTCAACAGACGATCTACTGACTATAAGTAACTTTGCAAGTGCATGTCAATTTATTCTAACCCTAACCCTACCAGTCTACTAATACTCTACTAGTACTCTAATGAGAGTTAGTAGACATGTAGGTGCAAATAAAGTGAAACCAAATTATGTACTGTATAGTTTATTGGAGTGCATTTTACAAGAAAATACTATTTCAGACTTTCTACTTCAAAATTTTGCATTTAATTCAGTGTGTTTAATGCAGCCTTTTCTTGATAATTATTTGTGAAATTTACTAGCAATGTCCAAGTGAAAAGGGTAACGCATTACAAGTAACGCGAGTTACGTAATCAGATTACTTTTTTCAATTAACTAGTAAAGTAACACATTACTTTTTAATTTACAAGAAAATATCTGAGTTATTTTTTCAAATAAGTAACGCCAGTTACTTTTTTCCCATTTATTGATTTAAAGCTCTCCTGTTCCCTTGTTGAGAGAAATCGGGAATAAGATGTTACTTTATTTCTAGAATAAATGTGAACATGCATTAATTCATCTCACTCACTCACAAAAAAAAAAAATATATATTTATTTTCCCCTCAAAATTAATTAAAACAGTTAAACGCAACTCAGAATATGACTCAAAGCAGTAATAATTAAATGTTATATAATACAAATATCCTTTATGTATTTAATCCTATTTTATTAACCAATTTGCTGCTGACCTTCAGTGATCCAATTTAAACAATATTAATAAGCAAAAATTACACAAGATAAACTAACATTTCTTCTTTTTTAGGGAGTAACGCAATATTGTAATGCATTACTTTTAAAAGTAACTTTCCCCAACACTGATTATTATATTATTTAGTATATTATTTTCATATTTTCTGCTTTAGTAATTTTGTTCTGTACTTTTATTATTTTTATTGTTTTTTGTTTTTTAATATTTCTATTTTATTTAAGTATTTTATTTTACTCAGTGTTGCTTGCCATTTCTTTCCAATTAATTGTGAAATATGCTAGCAATTTCTGAGTGCAGATTGTTTCAAAGTAAATCCTACACCAGTTTTTAGTTCTTTTGTTTATATGCTGTTGTAGTAATTAATAATTTGACTAAGTTTTTATTCATAAAATTTAGTTTTCATGCTAATTTTAGTTTTTGTTTTAGTAATGTTGTCTTGTGCTTGTCATTTTATTAGGTTTTTCTAACATTTCTATTTTTGTTTCAGTTTTTTTTTTACTTCAGTGTGTTACTTGCCATTTCTTTGTAATTCTTTGTGAAATTTACTAGCTATATTTCTGAGTGAAAACTGCTTCAAAGTAAATCCTACACCATTGTTTGAGTGTTTATAAACTATTATAATATTTAGTAATATTTTGACTTATTTTGATATTATTATTTATACATTTATTTTAACATGTTCAGTTTTCATGTTAATTTTAATTTAGGTTTTAGTAATTTTGTCTTGTATTTTTGTAATTTTTTAGTAGTTTTTGTTTTTTATATTTCTATATTTTTATTTACTCTATTTTATACTATATACAGTGTATATATGTTTTTATTGTATTTTTTAAATTGTTTTTTGCCATTAAAATAGCCTTTGATGCTGACATGGCATTACATATATATACTATACTATTAATTCAGTGAGTTACTTGCCATTTATTTGTAATTATTTGCACAATGTACAGTAATAATTCATTCAAAGTAAATCCAACACCAATTAGTCTGTGTATGCCTTGTATTTTCCAGGCTCAGTGGTTTGTCGCCCTTCCTCGGGGACGATGACAGTGAGACCCTGAACAACATTTTTGCCTGTCAGTGGAACTTCGAGGAGGATGAATTCTCAGAAGTCTCAGAAGAAGCCAAGGATTTCATTTCCAAGCTGCTCGTGGTGGATAAAAGGTGCTCAGGAGATTAATAAACGTATTAAAGAGACTGTCGAGATCGTTTAGTTGCATCATTCGCATTCAACCATTTGAGTATAACTGTCTCATAGTGCAGTGGCAGGAGTTCGTGCATCACCCTTGCAGGATTGGAACTCAAAAGCTTGTGTTTATCTTTGTGTGTGTGTGTGTAGCTGGAGGATAGGAGCCACCGAAGCGCTGAAGCACCCCTGGCTGTCGGATCCAGCCGTTCACTTCCGCCTGCATCAGAAGGTACAGCCTGCGTTTAACAGAAGACGCTCGCATTGTTCTGCCACAATCTGTGAATTATGAGATTTCTTTGAGCTTCTAAGGGTATCTTGGTTTTCTTCACAGAAAAATAGATGCCGCTCGCGCAGAAACTCTTTTCTGCCTCCACCTGAGAGTTAATGTAATAATCCACTGTCAATATATCACATGAACTGAGGAAATTTGCTCTTTATGTCCAGAAACGACCTAATGTTGATGACGTTTTATTTTCTGTTTCAGGGACCAAGCTTGCTGTGGAACCATGAGGATTACTGGACATTATATTAGATACAGACACACTGCGTTCCCTGAATCTTCCCCGTTAGCATTGATGACATTTCTTGAATTACAGTTATATGTCGTTGATCCTATTCCAGAATTTGAAGTGAAGATGTAATTTGATTTTGCAGAATTTCATCCGGCCTCTCAAAGTTCCTGTTTTGGGTTTCATACACTGATTCTGAAATAAAGTAGATTACCATTTAAAACATATTCTACACTAATGAAAAAAAAAAGAAAAAAAAAAAAATATATAAAAGCAGTAAAGCAAAAAAACATACTTGAACCATAAAGCAATCTAAATCATAACATGAAGTAACATTTTACTTAAAGCCTTTATATATAATGCATTATAAAAATAACAAACTTGTAATGAGCCTTTTAATGCATGATCTTATGTAACTACAGTTATAATACTTTATAACACTTATATATTAATTGTTTCAGCTGTAATGCATTAAACAAATAACAAACAAACCTTCATATATTGTAATGCATTTAAACTTTTGTTACAATTATTTGTGCAAAGATCAAATGAATTACAATGCACATTATGAATACCTTTATCATGCATTTTACAGAAAGGCTTTAAGTAAAGTGTTACCATAGCTTTTGAATATTATAAATAAACTTTAGCTCCATTGCTGTAACATTATGATTTGTCAAGCTTCCTCGGTAGTATGCTGATTTTTGAATGCACCTATATAATGACTGAAATATACCTGAATTATGAGAGATTATTGAGTGAACATTGTTTTCACAAATGTTGTTTTTAGGTTTTACATGTTCTACAGAATTGAAAAGGGATGCAAGATGTGATTTTGAGGGAAAGCAGAAAAATTATCAAGTTAAAGCTAATATATATATATATATATTAATGTAGTTTTTTTTCACTTTATTTTTTGAATGTCGAGTATGTAACATTGCATTATATGCACTTTAGAAAAAAAAATTTCTGTTTAAAACAGATTTTGTTTTATATGTTAACAGTGTTTTCCATGTAAATGTGAATTAAAATAATATTGTAGAATATAGAAGAATATAATAAAAGAAAAGTCTTATCTTTCTTTTCCTTTGTTCAGTCGGTCTTGTAAATGCAAACACAATTCAAAGTAAAAATATATTTATATATTTAGATGAAGTCTCTGTTCAGGTTTGGCTTATTTTTGTATTTATATATTGATGAACATTGTTTTTTGATCGGTGTTTGTGAGTCACACCTTAGACTACTGCTTGTATAGACGGGGAATAAAAAAAAATTATTATTTTTTTTTTTTACTTTAAGTAATCATTGTTTTTGTTTTATAAAAATAATGCTCTGTTTATTTATACACACGCATGCAAAATGAAAGCAAGTCCAGAGAGCCATTGGTCTGGTCTGATGTGAGCTGCTTCGTGTCTGTGTTGAGACGTCTCAGTGTTTGTGTCCACTAGAGGGCAGGACTCAAGTTATGGTTTCTTTAGTCATTTATTACAAAGCTGCTGTTAGCATCATCAGCATTTCACTGAACAGTAGAAAGTTCTTCTACCATATTTCAGTCAAAACAATGATCCAAGTACTAGCGCTTCAAACTTCAGCATTCTCACCTCTGTGCTGATGGATTAAGGTTTGGCTGGTTAGTGTGGGTAACTAGCTCCAGATAGATGATATAACTGCAGCTTTCTGTGTGCAAAAGCTTGTTGCTTTGTTGACGGCCGTTCAGAAGTGACTATTCTGATTAGTAATAAATTATTTACATTATGGGCCTCTGACTATAAGAAAATAAGCACTGCAAATTCAAGGCAGAACATATTTTTGAGATTCAGCTCATGCAAATTTGTTGATTTTTGAATTATTTACATTATGGGCCTCTGACTATAAGAAAATAAGCACTGCAAATTCAAGGCAGAACATATTTTTGAGATTCAGCAAAACAAAGTTGTTTTTATTGTCTCTTATAACAAACATCTTTTATTTAAAGCCATGCAAATGCAGATCCTGTTGTAAATAATCGCTTTATCAAACCGTTCTTCCTTTATTAACCCCTTGGCAGATTTTGACTTTGATTCACAGCTCTTTACAAGACATTTTCACATAATTGCATCTTTAATTCTCGTATTTCTCATATTTGTGAATTTGTTTAATTTTAACAATTATCTTTTGGGTCATTTCTGAATAGTATTATGATTTCTGTGACATCAGAAATTTTCACTTTATCCTATTATTATGGCTTCTGCACTTAAGGCGTTAACCAGTAAACAGGTGTATGAGAACTATTGCTTTTTATTTAAAATAAGGTAATACGTTACGTTACTTTTGCATTACTTTGTCTAAATCTGGCCTGGGTTTGCTTGTTTGTTTTTAAAAATCAAAGTTCTATTTTTTTGGCAAATGTAAAAGCCCTTTCACTCCAGAAGTGAAATGAATGAGCCTCAGGCTGAGAGAAATGCAAGTTAACGTCTGTACAGTAGAGCAGCTCAAACAAACCTTTCAGCTGTGCTGCCATTTTTGCTTATTAATATTGTTGAACTGGATCACTGAAAGTCTTTTTTTATACAGTATTTGCTTGTAAATTAAAAAGTAATGTGTTACTAGTTACTTGAAAAAAAAGTAATCTGATTACGTAACTTGCGTTACTTGTAATGCATTACCCCCAACACAGATTGCAGACCTATATAAGTTTGACATTTTTATAAATCAGCACTTGACTAATTGTATTTGCAATATGAAATTGCCCTGATATGGAAAAGTAATGTTTCGGGTTTGAACTGTGAGATTTCGTTTATATGTTTTAAATTTAGTGGTGCCAAACATATATTACATTATGTTTTTTTCTTTCTAACTTTTCTCTGAATATTTTCCTATAGTTATGACTGTTTAATTTAATAATAATAAATTCTGACATTTTCAACACTAAATGCATGAGAACACAAAGTGTTTTTATCATGCATAACACGCATGTGTTTTTATTTATTATAACGTGACTCCCACATTCCTTCTCGTGTCTCTTAGCCAGTGTGAGTCGACTGCAGAGATTTGAACTGTTCTAGAGTTGCACAAGAGACACATTTAGACTCTTTCTCACCCTGAAGTGATCTGATGTGGCCCTTTGCTTTAATATTAGTGTGTGAAAATTCACTTTTAGGTCAAGGTGGATGGATATACATAACTTCCACTGTATTATTTTCTGGAGGAAAATCCATGTCCATCTGTCTCTCAACATTAAATATTTATATATGTAATGTGATGAGACTTTGTCAGTTAGGATCATTATTTCTGTGAAAAGTCAATCCTCATGTCATATAGATTTATTTTGCATCCTTTTTTTTTTTTTTTGATAATGGAAATATAAAGGTCTCTGTGGTCTGTGGAGGACAACGGTCACATGTCCAAACCCCGGTGCTGTAAATGCCATATTATGATACAAACTGTCTCTTGGCCAAAGCAGGTGACATTATTTCTGTTCAGGTGTTTATTCATGTGTCTGTTTCACAGGTATTATGTGAGCACTGAAACGAGAATGAAATGAGAAGGAGTGCTTGTCCACTCAGTCTCTCTTTCTCTGTTTCGGTCTGTTCTTTCTTGATTTCAGTCTCTCCAGGGTAAGAGGGGGTTCTGGAAGCACAATCAAAACCAGATGGACTTATTATGGCCTAAAGACAATAAATATCATTGTCAGAGGGACCACAAGCATTAAGCCTTCATGCGTGAACTGAACACACATACGGACACACACGGATATAAATATATAATTAAATATGTAATACTAATGATGGCATGCTTTTGAAACAGCTTGTAATGTATCTCAATGTCATTATGTTACATAAAAAGGTACAACTTTAAAATGTTTCACTCGTTAATCTGAACTATAACAAAACAGTACTTACAGCATTTTAACATCTTACAACCTGAAGGTATTTTTAATGATTACATGCCTAAGTAGAACAATTTAAAGCATGAGCATAGGCTTATAACTCACACAAAAACAAAATTGGGGCCTGTTCCATAAAACAAGTTTACCAAATAAGCCAGGTTTATTTAAGTTAGTCTGACTTATTCTGAACCAAATCAACTGACAATAATTCAGACTAACTGAAATAAACCTGGCTTATTTGGTAAACTTGTTTTATGGAACAGGCCCATGGTCTCATTTGTTGGAAAGCCTCTCGAAATGGTAAAATAATAGATTTAGATTATGTCTGGAGACTCTCATACTACAACACTGCTAAGAAAGCACCAGGAAAAAAATATTATTTTTTTAGTCATTTTTGTCTTTATTATTATATATAATTTTTTTGTTTAGTTTGTTTGTTTGTTTGTTTGTTTGTTTTCATGCTTGACATGATGACTAGCCTACTAGAAAGTACGACCGTATATAAAATATGATGTTTGGGCTTGTTCACAATCATGTTATGGGTGAAATTTTGTCTTGATATTTTGATATCTTTATATCTTAAAATTTTCACCAAAAGTCCAAAAACTTCTCGAAACAAGTGATCTGAGTGTTTTACCAGACATAAAAACGACTTACATGTGTAAACGTGTATTTTCACATACATTTTTCCTGTGCATTGCTATATTAATCACTGCAATTCTGAGTGATTTCTGTATTTACATGCGGATATCATTCCCAAGACTGCAGTGTGTACATGGCCACTGGTTCTTAGCAGCATGAGTAACAAATGAAATGGCGCATGGTAAAAGCAAGAGCGATCAGTCCAATCCAAGGATTACAGGTAAAATTGTTGGAAATAATGTTCAGTTTCTTGCACAAACTGATCATTTCGCTTCACACGACCTCAATATATCGCCGAGAGTCATGGGTATTAATTTTGTGTTGCCCATATATGCTTTTTTTGACTATAGTATGAATCACCAAGGACCACAGTTTCAGCTAAAGAAAATGTCTTTCTTCTGTTCTACTGAAGAAAAAGTTGCGTGAGGGTAAGTAAATTAACAGCAAATTTTAATTTTTGGGTGAACTATCCCTTTAATAGTGAATATGTGTACATTAATTTGAACTGATACTGCCCCTAATTGTTCTGTTAATAGATCCGACAGAATACAGCCACATCTGTCACAGCTGATAAGGTAGACCTAAATTGAAAGCAGAGATTGTTGTGAGAACTGAGATGTGTTTTACGATCATTTGCGTCTGCATCAGTAATTCATCTCGAATGCAACAGGATCCTGGATTTCTGCTGAGCTCAGTT